TATCTATGGACATATGTCGTTGATGGTACCCCAGTGTTGCCATGTCTACAGTTTTAACTGTAGATCTACAGTTTTTTGGTAATGATCTCAGTTTTGCAGTTTTGGCCTCGAAATCTACAGTTTTTTGCTGAAGATACGAGCACTATTTATTTTTTTATGTTGAACTTAATAGTTGTTCTACTAAGTCAATTTCTATAAAACTAATATCGTTGAACCAGAGATAATGTTTATCCATTATTTTATTAGATGTGCGCTTGCTGTCAATGCAACGTACAACGACGTAACTAGCGTCGCAATGAACCGTTTTCTTTCCCGTTTCTCTATCGTTAACGAGACAACATAAACCATTTTGTCGAAACTGATTTTAAATTTGAAAATCAACTGCTTAACTGGTTGTCCAACGAAATAAAAATTCTTTCATTTTAGTATTTTTTTATGAACTCATCTTTTGTAGATTGAGATTTATGTTAATAATTCTTTCCATATATATAATTATTTATAGTAAAAAATATTTATTTATTTAACTGTCAGCTAGCTTTATATTGATTCGAAATTACCTTCAATAATTATAACATGACATAATAAATATTACTTATATTGAAATTTATAAAATTAATAAAATAAACAATATATCGATAAACATTTTGGAATGGTGTTTAGGATAACTATGATAAAACTGTTTGTTTGAGATATCAATTGAATATATTCTATACAATTTTTTTTAAAGAAAACCTTCAATGCTAAATTATGTAGATCGCCGGGATTACTTGGAAAATCTTATATCTGGCGCCATTGAAAATTACTAGTATTATAATCGCTTATTGTTAGGTAAAATATAATAAAACCTTTCAGAATGACTATAATAAAACTGTTTGTTTGAGATATCAATTGAATATTTCCTAAACACATTTTTTTAAAGAAAACCTTCAATGCTAAATTATGCAGATGGCCGGGCGTACGCTCATTGGAAAATCCTATAATCCCAAATGCGGATACACATTTGTCTTTTGTTAGCATTTTGGTAATTGTTAAATACATCATAAAATTCATTTTGCGTTTTTTTGTAACAATATTTTCCTTCGTGGAATTATCAATTTTTGTTGTTATGATTACTTTTATAGATAAAGAGTTGAAAAGACTTCAGGAAATGATATAATTTTTGTAAATTTTTATGTACAAACAAATACTTGTCTTGGCCTTGTATATAAACCGCCCCACTTTACGGTCGGGTTTTTTTTCGTGAAAAGTGATCTAAAAGAGCAGTTTTTCTTTATTGCGGATTTTAAAAGTTTAATTGATGTAATATGTGTTTCTGATAACATTTTCTTTTTATTTAAGTTATTTTTGTTTAAAATTAAAAATATATATTACAATACTGATGACCGCTTTGATAGTTTTTGGACTATCTTTATGCTCTTTGTATAAAATATTGTGTTATAATATGATAAATAATACAAAATTTTTATTTAATAACTTTTAAATTTCAATAATATCTATTTATCTAAAAATAATATAACAAATGGATTCTTGCCTAATTAGAGATAAAACACTCCAAAGTAATCTTCAATTGATTCCTATCAAAAATAACACAAACATATAACAAAAACATGTTCCTCGATGGATATTCAGAAAGGCGATTTTTACATGTTTATTTCTAATCTCAAAAGTCGTTAAAGATTGATTTATTATATATACAATTATTAATTGATCTGTACTTATCATATCTAAACTAAACATATCCCAAGAACGGGCCATCGTAAGTCTTTTATCGCATAAAATATAAACATTAACTTTGGCGAGCAGCGCTCGGGTTGCCCGCTAGGATACGACATCTAGGCGCGAGCAGTGTTCGAGTGTGGCCGTTAAGTGGTTAAAAGTTTAAGTTTGGAGATATATGAAGCAAAATCAGTTTGGAAGTGTTTAATGATTTGTCTTTTTTATCTACATTTTGAAATTTATATAGTGTATTTTTATATATATATATATTACGCAGAGTGTTACTAGTGTTTCGGTATAAGTTAAATAAGTTGAATTTTGTTATAAGTTAAAAAGTTAAACTTTGTTATAAGTTGAATAAGTTTAAGTTTGTTATAAGTTGAATAAGTTTAAGTTTGTTATAAGTTGAATAAGTTAATAGTGTGAGTTCAAATAGTTAAGAAAATGCATAGTTCTAGTAGTGATAATGTGTCAGATGTTGACAAATCCCCCGCAAGGAAGAGGAAAGTAGTGAGATACGAGCAAAAATTTATTGACTCTTGGCTCACTGACAAAAACTTTAGTGGATGGCTTGCAAAAAGTAAAAAAGGGAACACATATTTTTACTGCTCTGCATGCGACTGTGATCGTAAATGCGGAATTCAAGAATTAACGCGACACAAAAATTCGTCAAAACATCTAGAAAACAGTAAAAAAATACAAAAGCAACCGAAGCTTACGTCTTTATTTGCATCATCATCAAAATCAATGGAACCAAAGCAAATGGCAAAAACCGGCGAAATTAAATTAGCATGTTTTATTGCAGAACATAATCTTGGATTTAATGTTGCTTCACATCTGACAAATTTAGTAAAATCGGTGTGTCCGGATTCAAAAATTGCAGAACATTTATCTATGAGCCGAACAAAAGCAAGATCTGTCATAGTAAATGTGACAGGAAAAACCTCTGAAGAAAACTTAATAAAAAAATTAAGAGAAAATGAATTTGCATTGCTGGTTGATGAGAGCACTGATAAGTCGGCCATCAAGCATTTGGCTTTAATAACCAGGATAGTCAATGCAAATTATGAAGTAGAAGATAAATTTCTAACTTTGATTGCAATCACCGACGGATCAGCAAAAGCTTTGCATACAAAAATTGTTGAATATTTTGAGGAGAAAGAAATTCCATATAAAAAAAATTTATTAGGATTTGCGTCTGATGGTGCTAATGTCATGTTTGGGGCGAATAACTCATTGGTCACTTATTTGAAGAATGATATTCCAAATCTTTTCACAATGAAGTGTATATGCCATTCATTTGCGCTTTGTGCATCCCACGCATGTGAAAAATTACCGAGGGGTCTTGAAGATTTTTGCCGTGAAGTTTTCAATCACATTCAAAATTCTCCTAAACGTATTGGTGATTTTAAAACTTTTCAAGCATTTACAAATATTAAACCGCATAAAATATTACACCCTGCACAAACCAGATGGTTATCATTAAACGATGTTGTGAAGCGATTGTTGGAACAACTTCCAGCGATAAAATTATATTTTCAATCTGCTGTCTTTACGGATCGTCTTCTTTCTGCACAAAGTATATTGGCAAAAGCCATGGAACCGACAACCGAATTATATTTGGAATTCCTTCGATTTTCTTTACCAATATTCGTGAATTTGAATAAAGAAATGCAGGCAGAAAAACCAAAATTGTACATTTTATATGATCAGATATTTACAGCATATGCGACAATTTTGGAATGCTTTATTCAACCAAAATATTTGGAATGTTCAAAAGATGAATTGAATATGGTAAAAAATATTACAAATGCCAAACAACAAAAAATATTAAATGTGGATATAAACGATTTGCGAATGCATTTGCCTTTGTTAGAAATTTATGTTGGAGGAATGATTCCAAATATAATTCGGGTGAAAAGGGAGTCTGAAGGATTGGACAATGATCGATTGCTGAATTTTTACACAAAATGTAAGGAGTTTTACATTGAGGCAGCAATCCAAATAAAACAGAGATTTCCTTTCCACGATAAAGAACGGCAAGCACTAAAATGTTTACAGATGTTAAATCCACAAGTGATTTTAAATACTGATTTGAGACAAAATTTTACATCAATTTCGGAAATGTTATATTATTTTCCAAATATTTGTCCAAATAATATAACGGAAGTAGATAGAGAATGGAGGACTCTCAGAAATACGAATTTTGATTTTGATGAGACTGAGACGCCCAGTACAGAGCAATTTTGGAGACATGTATCAAAATTAAAAAAAGGCGATGGCTCAGGGATGTTTCCATTATTATCAATTTTAACAAGAAAACTTCTGTGTTTGCCGCACAGTACAGCAACGGTGGAACGCTTGTTTTCAAGCATAAATATAATGAAAACAAAGCTAAGAAACAAGTTATCAACTACGACTATTAAAGGCACTTTACACACAAAGTCAGAAATTGAAAATTGTTATGAATTCAGTGTGAAAAGCGATCACTTGAGTAAGTTTAATCAGAAGATGTATGAATTTCAAAATAAAGATGAAGCGGAACACCAAGAAGACATTGACATTGAAAATGAGATATCGGAAAGTTAAAAATGAATCTTACAAGAATATTATTTTTCTAAAGTTTTACAATTTCTAATTTTATGTCAATTAATATAACTTTATGACTCTTTATACTCTTATACATTCAATGTTATGAAAATGCGTATTTATTTATATTATCATATATCTTTTTGACTGTTAATACTCTTATACAATTATGCTTATTTATATATGTTAAGAAAATGCATATTTATTTATTTTATATTATGTTAATATTTAATAAAACTATGCTAATAACATGATTCTGCTAGTTTTTAATTACATTCTCAAAAATATTATATTTATTACCATCATTTAATAATAAAAATATAAAACTGTAGATCTACAGTTTTTCAATATGACATTTGCAGTTTTCTACAGTTTTTTTCTGGCGTATCTACAGTTTTTCTCTATGGCGGACCTGGCAACACTGCTTATGATATGAGACATGTCTGGTTTAAAAACATATAAACTATCATTTTATTTTGACGCATGGGCTGTTTTTACTACTTATCAATAAATCTAATGAAAAGATTAAACATAATAAGTGAAGTTTCAATTGGTATTAATTTTATAGGGTAACTACACAGTTCCCGTATAGTAAGAACGAAAGTGTTTCAATAAGAAAAAAGTAAACAGGTCGAAGAGAAGTAATACATAAGATGAAAAAGGAGTATTATATCAACAAAACAATAAGTCTGGTCCATGATAGATTAATATCAAATTTAAACATTTTATAGATAGCAGGATGAATAGCGTGGTAACTATATTTGTTGGCGATAGAAAGATTTGTACATCGTGAATTAACTGCTAAACTCATGATCAAACAGGCAATAATTACTGAAAGATATTAGAAAATAAAGATGCATATTTCATTAACTTGCAGAATCCAGGTTTATTAGTAGATCAAATGGCTAAGATTTCAATCATGTGCTACGAATGACATTTGCCGTAAAGTGTTTCATGAACATTTAATTACACTAATCAGAAATATATCCATTGCGATATAAAACATGCAGGTACTTACATCCACAAATTCTCACTCAAGTTACCTCATGTATTTACTAAATATAGAATGGTTTTGTACAATAAAACATTCACATGGGCCTCCATCATGTAGAATAGGGTTTCCTCACCGGGATCTGAAATAATAAAATACATACTATACTAATTCATATAGATATAAAAATATTATTTTAATATAGCTTAAAAAAAGGAAAATAAGTACCCATGAAAGAAAATATTTGGAATTGTAGCATAAGTATTAGCCATAACCTATCTCTTGAAATTATATCTTCAAACAACAAACTTGCCTACGAACTTAATAATCATAAATACGACGAACATTAGGTTTTAAATCAAATCAAAACAACAAATTGACAGCAATAAATATAAGAACAAACGTTATTAACGAATATTTCTCACACCAAATCAATGTAAAAGTGAAATAAGATGCTGTCAAAAGTTCTTTGCTTTTGTCATGTACTAAATAATTAAGAAAAATTATCAATCGATCAAAGTACTAACCAAGGGCTTGCAAATAATGCTTACAAAGACGCCTCAGAGGCGTCCAAAGATTATCGGCCCAAACACAAATATGACGACGTGCGTATAGTTAGCAGCACAAGTACCTAGCAGCAAAATAATTCAAGGTCATTTGTCATTGGGCCATATAGCCCATGTTTAAAATTCAATTTTACTGTATAAGATGTTAAAATTTGCTATAAAGTCATTAAATCTTAATGTTTTAGGCTTTTCTAGTTTTTTTGACATAAAATCTTAAATATAATATTCTGACAGCATTATTTTCCATTGTTATCAACATCCCACAGTCGGTGCTGGCGATTCTGCTGTTGATAATGCAAATAAAATTACATATATTACAAAAGTGCTTAATTATCAACTCAATAAATAAAATTGATGAGAATAATAAAAAATGTGAAGCAAAAATATAGTGTTTCGTGTTGATTTCAAGAAATTTACAACAAATTCTTTCGCTATGTTTGAAAGGTTATTAAATCTGCTGCTGGAACATTTTGATAGAAATAATCCATCAAATTTTACATTTTTGATACTAATGTTTCCTTATTAACTCAATAAACATAAATGTCAAAGAAAAATATAGTGTTTCGTGTTGATTTCAAGAAATTTACAACAAATTCTTTCGCTGTGTTTGAGAGGTTATTAAATCTGCTGCTGGAACATTTTGATAGAAATAATCCATCAAATTTTACATTTTTGATACTAATGTTTCCTTATTAACTCAATAAATATAAATGTCAAAGAAAAATATAGTGTTTCGTGTTGATTTCAAGAAATTTACAACAAATTCTTTCGCTGTGTTTTAAGAGGTTATTAAATCTGCTGCTGGAACATTTTGATAGAAATAATCCATCAAATTTTACATTTTTGATACTAATGTTTCCTTATTGACTCAATAAACATAAATGTCAAAGAAAAATATAGTGTTTCGTGTTGATTTCAAGAAATTTACAACAAATTCTTTGAGAGATGTGTGTTTGAGAGGCTATTAAGTCTGCTGCTGAAAATTTTTGATAGAAATAATCCATCAAATTTTACATTTTTGATACTGATGAAATACTAGCATAAAGAAGTTGGATAATAAAAATAAAATAAGGAATACGAAAAACAAGGCAGTGGCAGCACATGAGAATAACAATGACCATAATAGCACAATAGTAGATGTGGGAGAAGCAAGGGAAATGTGGAATAAAAAACCGAATAAAATAGGAAACTAAGAAAAATTTGCCGCGCTCAAACGGGGATTTTTGATTAGCCAAAAGAGTTCCAAATCTGACTCACACCTTTCAATAGGTAAGCATCCTAATAATGTAGCAATAGATTTTAATTTTTATATAAAACTCTACATATACAATAGAGCAAAATGTGAATCATATGTTATAGGATTTTTAGGTAAATATCCTATTCGATTGAATAATTTTTTCACGTTGTATAACGAGGAGTGGTTAGATGATATAATTATTGATGTATATTTAGCATCACTTGTATTTAATAAGGAACAATTTAAAATTCTTGCCCTGCATGAATTTATGTTTGCCGTAAGTAATAAAAATTATAAGGCCGTTATAAATATATCATCAGGCATAAAATATTTAGCACCATACATTTTAAATTCTCATTGGATGTTAGTGTTGATAGATACTGGTCTTACACAACTTAGTGTGATCAAATGTATTGCTGATGCAAAGACAGAGCATATTATTTTTGAAAAGTTTTATGTAAATTGTTTAACTATTGAAGAACAAACGAAATGGAGTAAATTTATAATAATTTCCCCTAAACAATCTGATGGACTTTTCGTATTACAAAATGCTTTCTGTTTATTGAATAATAAGAATTTAAACTATAAAATGGATCCTATCGAAACTAGAAAAAGTTTAATGTCACATTTCTTAAAAAATAGTATTAGTAATACTAGTATTTTTTCATTTTATACAATACTATGGTATTTTTTGCAATCCAATGGAAAAAAAACTGTCTGAAAACATCAACATAAATAATTATACTTATTTTTAATTATATTATTGTATGTGTCAGAATATTATATTTAAGATATTTATGTCAAAAAAACTAGAAAAGCCTAAAACATTAAGATTTAATTGACTTTATAGCAATATTTTAACATCTTATACAGTAAAATTGAATTTTAAACATGGGCTATATGGCCAAATGACAAATGACCTTGAAATTATTTTGCTGCTAGGTACTTGTGCTGCTAACTATACGCACGTAATATGACGCCTTAGAGTCGTCGCAAGTCTACCGGACGAAACATAAATAATACATTTCCGAAACTTGGTGAAGCATATACATACATGGTTTGTAAGAAGTTTTAAAAAAAATACACACTATAATGTCTTCAAGAAAAAATTAGTGATGAATTACATAGCAGTGATGTCTGCTACCAGTAGTACTGACAGTGGTAGTGACATACTTTTCGCACAAATATATAAATTTATAATTATATGTATAAATTTATGTATTTGTAATAATCAATTTTCAGTTTTATTTAAGAATAAATGTAATTATTTATGAAACATCTTGTAAAGTTAATTGTACCGAGCACGTGTATATACAAACTACAGGAATTTTATGATTTGTACAGTTTCGAACGCCGAGCGAAGTTGTTTATGCCACTGCGTGCGGCCGACCTTAGTATCGTTTTTGGCCCGTAAATTTGGATATTAGCTGGTAAGCGAAGGGGTTAATTGTGCACTAAATCACTGAATTGAAACAAAATCGGAATGTTGTTGAATCTAATGTGAGATGCAAGTACCATCCATCAACGACATATGTACATAGATAACGAATGCTAATAACAGTAGAGCGAACAGCAAACGTAAGGGTGTCGGCACACCTGACAATAACGAGAAAGCGCAGCGGCGCTACGACGGTAATCGACGAGATTAACAGTTCCGAAAAAAATTTATTACATAATAGCTGACCCAGCAAACGTTGTTTTGCTAAGTATTTCTAAACAATTTCTAGAGAATCAAGAAAATTAAGGCTTTATTTTAGGCGTATAAGGATGTGTAGTGTATAATCATAGATAAGGTGTATAATGAAAGTCTACTCATTCAATATTATATAATTTATATTAACATTATTCGTTTGCCTATCTTTTGTTAATACAATCATTCCATTCCAAACTGGAAGTTTTATACACTTTCTATGAAAAACATACAACTATGCAGGACCGGATTTAGAAATTTGGCGCCCTGTGGCACTCACAAAAATGACGCCCCATTCCTGAATTTATACTTACCAAAAATTAAAATCCGAAAAAAAAATTGAAAACTGAAAAATTTTGAGTTTTTTTAATATTTTGAAAATTTTCAACATTTTTTTAAACCAATCGCGCTGCTTTAGCTGCGTAGAGACAAAAGATAGAAGAGTGTAAGCGCCGCGTCGCAGAATAACGGATAAATAATATTACAGAACCCACAGAAATGTAAACAAAATTTATACTAATTATTAAAATATCTGATAATTTGATGAGTAATACCTGAAATATGAAAAATATCTGAAATTTGATGTGCACATGTCTAATGATCACTTTTGACCACCAAATGTTTCTATTTAAGTATTATTTATTGGAACACCAAAACCGCTAGACCTGCCTCCCACAAAGTTAAGCAGTTCTTTATTTTGTCTATATATGTAATTTTTTTAATGATAGTTTACATTCCGTTTCTCAAAACCTGAATTATCATGTTTGGCATTTTGGCCCGTATTTTCGAAACCGTTGGACCTGCCTTGCCCTATAACAAATCAGCATGTTATCGTTATCAATAGGAATCAATAGGAAATAAAATTTAATTTTAATGAACTTAATAAATAAAAGTTAATTTTTCCAAAAAAAAATCGAAATATAAAAGAAAGGTTTTTTAAATTCAATTTTTTTCATTTTTCAAAAAATTTTAAAGCTCTTTTATAAAGTGTAATTTTCTCTTTCTTTCCTCAAGGCACAATGCCATGCGTCACTAGTTTATAGTTTTTCAGCGCTAGAAGCTTGGAAAAAATTCGTCATCTTAAGAGCTCGAAATCTGTAAAACATATTTTTCTTAAACTTTCAGCTCATTTACGAATCTTTATATTATCCAAATTGCCAAATTCTGCATTGCATTCGTATATTATGTTTTGTTAATTATATTTTTTTAAATAAAAAATGTTATTAAAAATGAGTCAATAGTATAGAATTTTTTTCTCACTATCCAAATTTTGCCGCCCCCAAAAATTTGCTGCCCTGGACAGTAGCCCCGACTGCCCCTTTTGTAAATCCAGCACTGCAACTATGGTATAATCCATAGTATCCAAATCTTTTTTGGGTCTATGTTTTACTTTGTTGCTGTTTTTCTAAAAAATTGTTATTTAGTCCATTTGACCCCATAGGCGGGGTAACTTGGGACAGCCAGATGGCAAACAGGATCAATGTTTTATTTTAATTTAAAAGGTATTTTACAAAATAATTACATTATTCAACTGATGCAGAATATAAATTCCATTGGTGCATTTTTTACATTATCGACATTTTTACAGATGTGTGTTCTAATTTGTATTATCAGCTAACCTTCTAATTTAAATTGCTGACTGTTATAAC